TCTGGGGGCCTGGGGAAAAAATATATAAGTACTCATAACACATATTAGATTAGAAAAATAAAATGAGTCGTGCCATCCCCCAGACACCGCATGTTTAAACAATATTGGTATACAAATAGTTAGATTTAGTAATAATCTGTGTGCGGAGCGAGCATTTCTTAGAAAAAATAAAAGGAAAACAAATTTAATAAGAGCATCACCATAGAAATTAAAGTTGAATATTCATGTCAGCTGTCTACCAGTGCTATTTTTGCCGGTTGAAACTGAGATAATGATTATTATACAGTATATTATATTTTATATTTTATTTGTCTATACGTATTCGTGTTCGGGTATTCCAAAAAAATACAATTGTTATTTATCGTTTAGATTAATACACATTCTGGGAAAACTATACCATATGATGACAAAGTATTACAAATTGACGTTTCTGAACCACCTTGTAATACTTCTAAGGTAGAAAAACACGTAAATGAAAATGCGGGTGCCTGTTCTTCGCGCGAAATCGAATGTAACAATTTTACTGACTCTGGTTTGTGGCCTGAACAAATTAACGATGATATTCGTCAAAAAATTATTGATGCAAATCCTTCTAATTTTGATAATTTATTAAAAATAAAAAGTACTATTTCTAATGATTTGGGTGGTAAACAATTTTCCGAATTTTTATTATACACAAAATGATTAAACAACAGAGAAAAACATCCACGTGATTGGTTAATTTATAGTACATTCAAACCAACATTACATTGCTTTTCTTGTTTATTATTTAATGATAAACTTACTGCACAAATAAAAAACCGAAGCGTCTTAACTAAAAGAAGCTGGTTTTCTCCAAAAATAATACCCTGAAAAAAGTTATATAATAGGCTTCCATTACATGAAAATAGTGAAACACATCGTACTTGTTATTGTATGTGGAAAAATTTACAACAGTCTTTGCTAGGTTTTGGAGTAGATAGTCAATTACAAAAACAAATTCTTAGTGAAACAGAAAAATGGAAAGCTATTTTAAAAAGGCTTCTTGATGTGACTTTGTTCCTAGCTTATAGAGGATTGCCTTTTCAAGGCAGTAGCACTAAAATTGGTAACGTAAATAATGGTAACTTTCTTGGCATATTAGAACTTCTTGGACGTTATGATGAAATAACAAGAGGGCATTTAGCATACGTTAAAGAATATCAAAATAAAGGTGAAAGTATGAAAGGAAGGACCCATTATTTATCTTGGATGAGTCAAAATGAATTTATTTCCCATTGTGGTGATAAGATTTTAAAACATATTCTTGAAGAACGAACTGAATCAATATATTATTCAATTATTGCTGATGCGACCCCCGATGTTTCACATCAAGAACAGAATGTTTTAAGTTTAAGATATGTTTTTCGTAATAAGGAGACAAAACAACTTGAAATTCAAGAAAGATTTATTGAGTTTTTGAACTTTAATGAAAAAACAGGTGAAAGTATTGCTACTATGTTATTAGCAGCATTAGACCGTCATAAAATTCCATTACCAGATTGTCGAGCCCAAGCGTATGATAACGGTTCTAATATGAGTGGGAAAATTAAAGGAGTACAAGCTCGAATTTTAGAAAAAAATAACATTGCTTTTTATTCACCTTGCAGCGCTCATTCTCTTAATCTCGTTGATGTTAATGCAGTAAAAATAAATTCAAGGGTTAAAACTTTTTTTGGATGTTTACAAAGCTTATTTGTAAGTTTTAGTAGCAGTCCTGCAAAACGAAATATCTTAAGTGAAGAGGTTGGTGTATCATTAGGGTCTCAGTCTGAAACACGATGGAGCTCCCGCGTTTCAGCCATACGCCCAATTGTAAAGCATCTTCCGGGTATTTTAAAATCATTAAATAGAGTTTTAACTGAAATTAACATGCCAGACAAAATGTATAGTGAAATAATGGCTTTAAAAAAATATTTTTCATCATTTGAATGCATAGCCATGGCTAGTTTTTGGTTTAAAGTACTTTCTTCAATAAATGAACGGAATATTATTATTCAGTCTAGAGGTATATCTCTGGAAGTTGAAATTGATTTAATAAAAGATTTGATAAATGAATTGAACAATATTATAGATGAATGGCCTACAATTTTAAATGAAGCTAGTTTAGTGGCAAACAATTTGAACATTATACCAAATTTTCCTGAAGAAGAAAGGAGAGCAAAAAAAAGGAAAGTATTTCATGATGAAGTTCAATCAGAGACTATTATTCAACCTAATAAAGCAATTGTAGCACAAGATTCTTTTAAAAGGGATGTTATATTTAATAGTATAGATGTTATTATAACCGACTTGACCCACCGCTTTGAAGCACATAAAAACCTTTGTAACCTGTTTTCCCCTATTTTATGCTATATGAAGTTATCTTGTGAAGAACTTGAAGTTAACTTAAAAAAAATGATTGAAATATATCCTAATGATTTATCGTCTAATATGTTGGATGAATTATTTCATTAAAAAAAAATTCATTTATCAGTTTTTCAAACAGAAATCGAAATATCGCCACTAAAACTATTAAACGAAATTTATGCAAAGAAATTAGAAACTATTTTTATAAATACTTCTGTTGCTTTAAAAATATTTCGTACACTACCAATGACAGTCTCTGAAGCAGAAAGAGCTTTTAGTAAATTAGGAAATCAGCTTAAGACTTGGCAAAGGGCTTCAATCGGCCAAGATCGACTTAATTCCCTTGCACTTTTATCAATTGAAAACAAACTTGCATCAAAAATTAACTTCGATGATGTTATACATGATTTTGCCAAAAAAAAAGCAAGAAAAGAAAAATGTAATTAATATGAAATTTAAGTTTAAAATTAAATTATGATATTGTCTTAAAACAAAAATTTTTACTATAAGAGTATGTATCTAATTATTTACAATGTACAAAGATATTTTTGAGTTAGCATAATTTACTTATTAATGTAATAATATAATAATACAAAAGTATGTAATCAATAATTTTATAAAATTTTTTATATTAAACTGCAGTAAATTAGTGTATATATGTTTAAACTTTATTTGATAGAGGTATAACAGCGAAACAAGCTGTGTAACCCAATATTTTAGGTACCTTTTGTACAAATTAAAATTAAATGTTAGAATTTATATTGAAATAACTATATATACTATTATACTAATATACATTAATAATTGAGCGCCCGAATTTATTTACAGTACCGTAGTTGAAAAATGCATGTGGGGGGCCTGCCTACAACTCATATTCCTGTTATAATGATTGACTAGTAATTTATATTCTTAATTATTTATACGTTACATTTTTTAAATATGTATTATATTAAAAAAAAAACAAGCCATAGGGGGGGGGGGGGGAAGGGAGTATTCGCCCCCTCTCAAATACGCCCTTGTCTGTTGAAGATTATAGTGTATGCTGTATTTTGTCAATTGTAGTGAATAACATTGAATAAAATAGTATGGAGTGTTAGCATTCAGCCCATGGTTCTTAAATCAGCATCATGCAATTTACAACGCGCTGCAAACGTATATCTTGTTATATTTTATAGTTATAAACATGTAGGTATAAAGGATTAATTTAATTTTTTCGAGAGTATCGAGATAAAAAAATTATCAAGCAAAGCAAGAAAATTCATTTTAGGATTAATATCCATATTTCTTTAATGCGTATACCCACAAATAAATTTAGCAATACGCCAGTGGACGTAACAAAAAAAAAAAAAAATCATCTTATCCCGATTAGCGGCGTCCACCGATTTCAACGTTGGGAGTGTTGGCTGTACTAACATGACCTGCCGAAAACGCGGTACGATTCAAGTCGTGTAAAACCGTGTCGCCGTTGTGACAGTGCTCGCGTAATGATCATTGCGAATCACCGAAAACGCGCGTTTCAAGCACAAACGTATTTATGGATCGTTCAACTTATCCGATCGGTTTTTTTTTTTTTTCAGATTGTCGTTCATGACCGGGAAACGACCGTTTGCGACAGTCGAGCCTAACGCGCTCGAGACCAGATATCATATTGTCTCGGGAAAACAATCGACTCCGTAACGTCACGTCTGGTCGACCGTCGCCGTCGGCTACCGCGAGCACGCCGCGGCAACAACATTATTGCGTCCCGCGCGTCACGGTCAGGTGAAATTTGTGTTTCCGATCCGAAGCGTGCATGATAGATGGATCCTTCGCGCCGGGCGATTCTCGGACGGCCCGACGGCTGCGACGCGATAATTCGACCCGAACGGCGGCGGCAAAACACGATTTTCGTCGCGCGCGCGAGAGCGGTGCGGCTCGCGGTCGAAACGCGTCGTCCGAGAACGATGACGATCGCGTGCACCGACCCGCCCGTCGCACTGTTTGATGGCCATAATTACGTTATTGTTCTCGGCCGATTGTTCTTGTACAGAACTCCCTCCCTCATCCCCCGTTCGCCACCGTCCGCCGGTTCGTTTCCGACGATCGAATGTTTCGGCCGTACACGCGTCGCAGCGGAAGACTGCGAAAAAAATAAACCGTTTCCGACGTACACACCGTAGGTGTTTCTTATTCTTATTTTTATTTCATCCATTCCCGGTCGCACGCTCAACGCATCACGACACCGAAAACCGTTGTGTTTTTCGCTGAAAATCATAATATAATCGCGCACGCCGCCGTATGCGACGTTTAAAATCCCATCAACTAAACCACGACATGATGATTGTTCCGTGTACTGCACGACGATGGTATTTATTCCAAGGTCGAACCCCGTCACGGGTACGTGAACCGGCCGGGGTTGAAACATTTGCTTTGGGTTGTTTTTTGTTCTTCGTTTCGCAATCAGTAATTTTTTCTTTTAAATTTTTTTCAGCAAGCAAAATCGATGATGAACAATAGAAAAATAAACAGTTGACCAGATGACTTGCGAGGTAAATTCACCGTCAAACTGTGCGAATTTGTACATGGCTGAATTCGGTCGTCCGACAGGTCACGAAATCACTTACGCTTCGTTCCAAAACCATCTTCATGGGTTACCTGCGACGGTACGCGTGGCTTATATAGGTCGGAAATAAGAGGATTGCGATTGTTGGACGGGTTAGAGTGAAAACATTCGCATGCAGTTAGATTTTAAACTTTTAATTTTGTGAAGAAAGGATTGAGATTAAATACTTTTACACACAAAGGGTAATATTTTATTAGTACGACGTTGTTGACAATTGAATTATAATGTTTCTGATTTTATTTATACATAAAGGATGATCAATTTTTAAACATTTTTAAAAAAATTGTTGTAACTCTTCACGTTTTCATTATTTTAAAATATTTGTTTAAAGTATTTTAGGCACTTTATGATTGAGATTTCTTTTTCTTTTTTTTCTTTTAAATTTATTCTCCATGAAATAATTTCCACTGAGAATAAATATTTACAATAAACATTTATAAGTTCTTGATTATTTACTGATGTTTTTTTTTCACTGAAGTCAAATTTTACGAGTTATCATTATTTTTCTACAGATGATTCTAAATAACTTTAATCGTTTTATGTATTATATTATGTATTATACATTAAATTAAAGATACACCATTGCTATTATGACGGTAAATTAAACAATGTTTATTAATCATTCATTGGATCTTAAAACTAAAACGATATAAGTTATTACATAAGTCTTTACATTTTTCGAATAATAATAATAAATTGAGAGTAATATCTAATGTCTAACATCATATAATCAATTATAATTATACCATAGTAATTATGAGCTATCATACAATAAGAAAAAATAAATGAATTAACATGTTTTTGAGATCACATTTTCAGTTTCGGTACATTCAAAGTTTTAAACATTATGTAACTCTAAGAAGAACAAATCATAACCAGATTTTTTTATTTATCATGAAATCGGTGCTGCTGTGAATAATTAAATCGTACGAGCTTCGAAATTTATAAATTGGGAGTGACCATAACGAATTAATGATGATTATCATCAATTTTCAGAATACAGGTACCACAGAGTATAATGGATATATTTACATAACTTCCAATCGTATACATATATGAAATAAAATATTATCAAACGAATCAACCTGAAAGTTTTTATAACAAATTTTATATATTATATTAATACACCGTGAGAATCATTTTCACACATATATAGTGATAACGAGACGGCCTTAATTCGGCATGCATTCGAATGTATAGTAATTAAAATAAAAATTTCACAAATTCAAGTATTTTATTTTATTTTTTTCCATGGTATTATGAAACACGATGCAGAAGTCAAGTAAAAACATTTTTAAACACTCCGCTATATAATATATAACTCGTATTATTGTATTCCACACCCGTAGGTATACATTTCTAATGATAATGTTATAGTATCTTATTATTTTAATTATTTATTTAAAATTCTTACATTTCAGACAGTTTTTATACAATTTGATTAGAATGAAGTCCTGGGCGAAGTCCTTGTTAGTTTTAGTCGTCAATGAAATGACTCCTCGTATAGTTTCGTTTAATTAAAAATCAGATGTTTGCACGAATATTATTTCGCCGAGAAAAAAAAATCGATTAAAAAATATCAATTTTATCTCCTCGTTGTTAAATCGCAGCAAAACTGCCAGATTCGATTTCGCTATGCGGTGGTGTTGATGGTGTTGATGGGACGTTTATGCCGGCAATTACAATAGAAGAAACAAACATAAAGTATTACTGTGAGCTTCGTAGAATACGTAAGAAAGATAATAGCATATTATATAATATGCTTGTACCCGAATGACGATTATTTTAACGCGAGTCCGTCAGTGTATAGGCCCGAGGCGGCGTCGGCGTCGGTCACGGTCGCAAAGAATATTATACGGCTTAAAAGGTAAACCGAATATAGCTGCTGCAAGTATGTGTTTATATATGTATATAAATGTGCGTGTGTATGAGTGTGTGTACATTATAATGTAAGTGTGTTTTAATTTGTAACCGTAAAACTGTCAGTGTGCGGTAAGAATAAATAAAAACATCGTTCGAATTGTTTTGACTGAAACAGTATTTTATTCCGTATAATATATACGAACGCATCGAACAACGAGATAGAGAGAGGCAGAAAGAGAGAGAGGCAGTGAAAGAGAGAGAAAGAGAAAGAAAAAGTCCGTATATATTATTAATAATAATCGTCGTTATTATTATTAGGGGATGGATTTCGCCTGTCGCGTATATACAGTACATATACCATAATAATAATAATAATATGTATATAAAAATACGCACATAAACGATCACACGTGCACGAGTATTACATTATACAAAAGTCTGAAGTATACGTATATGTATATCTATGTTTATTCGTATATTTTATTACACGCGGTACGCGCACACAAACACGCGGCGGCGACGGTTGTCGTATATCAAAAAATAATAATATATTTTTCTTTTCCTGCATGCGCGACCCCATCACACCCCCGCCGAGCGTTTTTAATAGCGTTTTGTCGATCATTATCCGATAAAACACCTTGTT